CAACAAATTCGATTTTCTCAAACCTGTCATAAGGAATCCATTCTAAATATGAAGTATAGGAAATGGCAGTTCTTTGATTATCTTGGAGAAATTCATCTATGTATTTATTTCCACTAGTCCAATTCGAAAATTCATCAATCAATTTCTGACAGTCACATTTAGGACACCAGTCAAAATAACTTTTCGGTTTTTCACAAAGGGAGCAAAAAGCCATATAATTCTTCTTGGTTACAAAAATTTTTTTGAAAATTTTATCGGCTTAGAAGTAATTTTGTGTAACAAAATTACAGCATCAAGCGTCACTTCCAAAATAGAAATTGTGCAATTTAATTGGCTTGCACCGAGTGGAGTGATTTGCATTTTTTTTTTTTTTTTTTTTTTTTTTTAACTAAACATTAATATCCTAGTAATACGACCGGCTGAAAATCTAACGTAATAATCATTAAGGGGAGCGTGTAGTCACGGGATTTTTATTATGATCAAGATGGCACAAAATTTCGGAAAAATTTAAGGCCATCTTGTAAATCCGGACCAGAGTTGGATTAAAGAATCCTATCAGAATTATAAAAAATATATATATATATATTTTTGTAATACAATATAAATTTTTTGTAACCTATTTTAATAAAAAACTCCAACACAGATTTTGAGCTATTTCTATGGCGTTTTCGGTAATTCCTTCTACTATTACTTTACAGGACAATTGTGTAGAACTCGCACTTGTATTTACCTTTTTTAGATCAATACGAACTTTTACCAACTCTTTTACGATTAAACTGTCAAGTAAACGTGAAATGTCTTCAAAGCGCTGAAGAGTTTTATTGTAGTCTTGTTTGTAAATTGGTAAAAAATTGAGTTGCTTTTTTTTGTTATTGTTGTTATTTGCTTAAGCAAAAACATGAATAATGTCAATAGGTAAAGTAGGTTGATTCTTTATTCCCAAAAATTCTGTCACGGCGATAATAACTTTCAGTAAATGAATTACCGAAGGGGGACAAAAATATTGCATGGTTTTATTTTAGCAATAAATTTTTTTTTATTAGGATAGCAGTCAGTTTTTTTTTATATTCACAAATAATACATCAATATTTAGTATGTCTTCCTTTAGCATCAATCACCACCTGAATTCTATTTGGCATTGATCGCACCAAGTCATGATAAACTTTTTGTGGTATCGCTTCCCAAATCTCTTTTACCACCTTTTCAAGTTCACGAATGCTTGATGGCTGAGGGTTGTGTTTTCAAATTTCCACCTCAACTTCAGCCCACAGGTTCTCAATTGGGTTGAGATCGGGACTTTAAGCAAGCCATGGAAGCACCTCTACATTTTGAGAATGCAGAAACTCTTGTGCAACCTTCGATATGTGAATTGGTGCATTGTCTTCCTGAAAAATGAATTTTTTTTTGGTTTTCCAGGAAAATGCTTTGAGTGTGGAAACTGCATAAGTGGAAAGCACCTCTTTATATACATTTCCAGTTACTGAACCTTCAAGTGGAATAATGGGACCTAATTTTAAAAAGGAAAAACATGCCCAAAACATTCTTTGAGGAGAATGTTTTACTGTTGATGCAATGCAATCTTCATTAAATTTTCTTCTAGCTTTCTCCATACTCTTCCCCATCCAGTTTTTTGAAACTGTAAAAATGTAGACTCCTCTGTCTAGACTATCTTTTTCTAGTCTTCTACAGTCCAATTTCTTCTTTCTATTGCCCATGCAAGTCGTTTGTTTTTGTTAATTGCTGAGATAAGAGGCTTCTTTCGAGGAATACAGGAATGCACATTTTCCTTGTAAAGTGAACAACAAATTGTTTTTGTAGAGACTAGCTTATTAATTTTAGCAGAAAATATATTAGTAATTTCTACTAGATAGGATCCTGAACAATATATATAGGTCAGATAAAAATTTCAAAATTTATTAAGATCAATAAGCAAATTATTTTCAATCCTGCTAAGCAAACTCTTATTATGACTTTAAAATTTTTTACACTGCTAAGCAATTGATTTTGTGACTATTATTAATTATAAAAAGATTTCATATTATTTCTCCATCATTTTTCTATCATTTTACCATCATTTTACCATCATTTTGCCATCATTTTGCTATCATTTTGCCATCATTTCACCATCATTTCACCACCATCATTTCTCTATACTTTCACCATAATTTCGCCTATAATTTTACCATTATTTCGCCATCTTTCACCAATAATTTCGCCACCTTTTACCATCACCTTCACTATTATTTCACTATTATTTTGCCACCTTTTCATCATTTCACCTATAATTTCACTATAATTTCACTATTATTCCATCTCTATTTTACTATCACTTTACCTTGAATTCAGATAACACGTTATTATATATTGCAATAAATAGTTTATTTATTAATGATTATAAAAATTTTTTTTATATTTTTTTTACAAAATTTTATTTATGTAAATAATTTATGTAATGTATAAAATCACATGATGCGGTGATATTACTTTATTTATTAATATTTAATTATTACATCATATTAATAATACTATTTTTAATAGTATCACGATTAAAATAATTAAAAATATTTGTGTAACTTCTGTTAAAGTTAATGAACTATCATCAATTATTAACCCATTTGATTTAATATGATATATAATATTTTGAGAATAATAATGAATAAATAACGTATAACCTTTCACAGTTTGACTTGCAAAAATATTGAGATAAATTGATACAGTAGCGGTCATAAGTATCCGACCGCCTCTAACTCCAGCTACAAGTAAGTAAATTCAAAATTTTTTTTTTATTTAAAAAATACATAACCAACTAACT